CTCAGTGAACCATCCTATTTTCAATAAGTGAGCAATGCAGTGATCGTTCATCTATATCATGCAACTGGTACACAAGCCATCAAACAAGTTCAAGAAGAAAATGCAACAGCTTCTTGATGGCGTATCACAACAAGACACGCCAAGGCACATCGCAAAACGCCTGTCTCTACAAAAAAATACAAAAAAATTAGCTAACGGGGGGTGGTAAATACACCCTGTAGTATCCCAACCTACTCCTGAGGCTGAGCGTGGCGAGGTTCACCTGAGTCGCCGAGAGACTACTGAGATCTTCTATATGTTGACACATTTGATTATACAGTATCAAAATACTTTCACCAATATCACCATCGATCTTATCAGAATACTTTTGGAAAGCGAATGTGGATATAAGTTTTCTAAAATTCTAATTTTTTGTTCAAAAGCTTGAGTTTTACTATCAGCAATTTTATTGTTGAATTTTACTATGGCCTCTCTGTTGTTTTCCTTGAAATAACAGAATCTCCATTTTTGAGAAAATGTCTCCCAAAACCCAAGCTGAAATAACATTTTTTGTCAGTCATCCTTTGAAGTAAAAATGATATTCCATTAAAGTGGTTAATTCACTTCATGACTTAGTCACATGAGGGTTTTTTCTCAGGCCGTCTGTAGGAATGCTCATGTATACTTCCCATTTCATCACATGAAATATTAGAAAGATATATTCAAGGATTAAGTTGTAAGATTTTCACTGCTTCATCATAGACATTCTTTTTATTTTTGAGACAGAGCCTTGTTCTGTCACCAAGACTGGAATGCAGGAGCACGATCACAACTCACTGTAGCCTCAACCTTCTGGGCTCAATCAATCCTCCTGCTTCGGCCTGCCAAGTAGCTGGGACTACAAGCATGCAACCAGCATGTCCAGCTAATTTTTGTATTTTTAGTAGAGATGGGGTTTCACCATGTTGGCCAAGCAGGTCTGAAACTCTTGACGTCAGGTGATCTGCCCGCCTTGGCCTCCCAAAGTGCTGGTGTTACAAGCATGAGACACCATGTCTGGAGTGCCCTTCCTTTTTAAACCTTTAAACCTTTCCTGTGCATAGTAGTCATACCATGACTGCTAGTAGTTTGGTGTTACTGCCTTTATTTGTGCCAAAGTACCAGCATTTTTACCCACCATTGCATCTGCACCATTACAAAAAATATCGCCATGTTAGTATTCCTGTCAAAATAGTTTGGACCTGGGGATCTGAGGGCCGCACTTTGAGAACCATTGAAATAGGTCCTTAAACCTACTATATATCATATCTTTTCATCTACAAGGTTTTTAAAAACTTGATTTCAGTTAATGTTTCTGTAATTTTTAAAATATGATTTTGAGGGGTTTCAGTCCAGAGCAACAACGTGTATTTTATTTTGCTTATACTGAAGTTTACTAGATGAATACTAACCTAATAGAATGAGGTCCTAAATCTAGTTGCAGTTTCTTTAGCCAAAAGAGAAAAAAAGAAAAAAAAAACTCAAAACACAAAACTAAAAATTTAAAACTGGTCCATATGATGTATTCTCAATGTATGCTGAACAATTTGAAGAAGAAAATGCAATACTCAGTAAGTGGTATTCTTTAAGAGCAGGATTGGGCCAGGCACGGTGGCTCACATTTGTAATCCCAACACTTTGGGAGGCTGAAGCAGGCGGATCACAAAATCAGGAGATCGAGACCACCCTGGCTAACACAGTGAAACCCCATCTCTCAAAAAATTAGCTGGGCATGGTGGTGGGTACCTATAGTCCCAGCTACTCCAGAGGCTGATGTAGGAGAATGGCATGAACCTGGGAGGCAGAGCTTGCCGTGAGCCGAGATCGCGCCACTGCATCCAGCCTGGGTGACAGAGTGAGACTCCATCTGAAAAAAAAAAAAAAAAAAAAAAAAGAATAGGATTCATCTAAAGAGTTTCCTTTAGCCTGTAAAGAGATTTGGGACACTATAAGAGAGGAATGAGAATACTGAAATGAATCATTATTGAAGAGATATACTGTTAATGATGTCCTCTTTCAATACAATTTGTTTTTATTTTTACTTATTTATTTTTTTGAGATGGAGTCTTGCTCTGTCACCAGGCTGGATGGCAGTGGCACATCTCAGCTCACTGAAACCTCTGCCTCCTGGGTTCAAGCGATTCCCCTGCCTCAGCCTCCTGAGTAGCTGGGACTACAGGCATGTGCAACCATGCCTTGCTAATTGTTTTTATTTTAGTAGAGACGGGATTTCACCATGTTGTCCAGGATGTCTCGATCTCCTGACCTTGTAATCCACCCATCTGGGCCTCCCAAAGTGCCAGGATTACAGGCGTGAGCCACCGTGCCCAGTCAACTTGTTTTTCTGGTTTTCCATGGTTTTCTATGACTTGAACCTAGTTCTTCAGAAGCTAATAGATAATAATAATGGCTTTTCCCCAATTTATACTAAAAAACAGTACAAAACAGCAGAGTAAATGTCTATTAGTGGGTGAAAGTGCATAATGCTTAGTTCATTAGCTTTTTTAAAAAATCACATGTAATTGTGTCCCAAAAATACATATATAGTAATGGTATTTATTGGTATTACTTGGTTTGTGTGATAGAATAAAATGTTAGAATTTTATGGTGTTTGAATTAGTTATCTATTGCTCTTTAACTAATTTAGCAGCTCAAAACAACAAACATTATCTCAGTTTCTGTGGGTCAGGATTCTGTCCTGTTTACCTTGGATTCACTGGCTTGGCCTCTCACCAGACAGTGAAGGTGTTGGTGGCAGCTGAGATCCATCCCAAGGCAGGATAGGGAGATAATCCACCTCCGAGCTCACATTGGCAGGATTCATCTCAGAGGCTGTTGGACTGGGCCTCCTTTTCTAGATGGCTACTGGTCAGAGGCCTTTTACAATACCTTGCTATGTGGGCCTCTCCATAGGGCACCTCATCACATGGCAACTGGCTTCCATCAGAGGGAGCAATGGAGAGAGCAGGAGAACGGTGACCAAGGCAGGCATCATAGTCTCCTTGTAGCCTCACCTCAGAAGTGATGTTATTACTTTTGCTGTATACTCCTTGGTAGAAGTGAGTCACTAGGTCCAGGGATGGGAATTTTACAAAGGTGTGAATGGCAGGAGGTGAGGGTGATCGGGCCCATTTAGAGGCTGCCTACCAGTGTTGAAGAAAATTGTTGACTTCTATGAGCTGTAGCAGCAGACAGTGCTATGCAAGGAGAATGGCTGTCTGAGAAGTCCAGCACCTCATAGGGGTTTTAATGTGTTACCTTTTCCCCGATACATTTTGTTTAAATCCGTGGTCGTCTTGCCATTTAGTGGTGTGGTTTAATTGCATATTTGGATTAGTCTGTATGTAAACGTTTAACACAGGTGTCTCTGTGCTAAACGGGAATCCTATTCATCTTCTTCACCAATATGGTTTGTGGACTCTGATGAGCCAACTCTGACATCAGTTCTGGAATGTCTAGAAGACACTAAGAACAACAATTTGGTAAGGAAAGAAGCCAAGCTATTTTCTCTTTTCCTCATAAACATTATATTTAGAAATTACATGTTAAGAGATAATATGATTTAAAAAAAACATGAGTAATGACTATAATATTAGAGGAATTAAAGTCTGGATATTTTAAGTTCTCCAAATCTTACTTACTACCTGGACTCTCTTTATTATTTCCCACATGTATAACCTTAGTTTAGATTAGGAATTCAGGATCTCTTTTTCCCTGAATTCTAACCATTAAGCCAAGCAAGCATTTTGGGTAGCGACCACTAGCCAAGGTGGGAAGTAGAAAAAAGACCAAGGTGGAAGTGAAGGCAGAGATGGGAGAATGACACCAGAACTAGTGGGAGGGAATTGTAAGTCTGCAGTAAAAGTCAAAGGTATTCAAATAGGAAGTTTTGTTTTTGTTTTTAGTACATAAAGAAATATAACTTTCCAGGTTGGAAAAATTTTAAAACTTTTTTTTATTATAAAACTCATAAGCAACCATTGTTGAGAAAATTCATAAAGTTCAGAAAAGAAAAAAGAAAGAAATTAAAGTCTCCCATAATTTCTCTACCTAATATAACCACTATTGACAGTTGACGTGGTGGCCAGTTTCTACCAGTATATGTTTTTTCTTTGATGGTGAAATACATAACCCTTATACATATATTTAAATAGTTGAGGTCGTATTCTGTATAGTTTTATGTTTTTTGTTTTTTGTTTTTTTTTGAGATGGAGTCTCGATCTTTCACCCAGGCTGGAGTGCAGTGGTGTGATCTCAGCTCACTGCAAGCTCCCCCTCCTGGGTTCACACCATTCTCCTGCCTCAGTCTCCCCAGTATCTGGGACTACAGGCACCCACCACCATGCCTGGCTAATTTTTTGTATTTTTTAGTAGAGACAGGGTTTCACCGTGTTAGCCCGGATGGTCTCAATCTCCTGACCTCGTGATCTGCCCGCCTCGGCCTCCCAAAGTGCTGGGATTACAGGCATGAGCCACTGCGCCTGACCCTTTTATATTCTTTTAAAAAGTATTTACTGTATTTCCTCATGATGTCATAGTCTTTATATAAAAATAACAATCATTATTTTTAGTTGACATGATTATTTACCTAAAAATATCCAAATGAACCAACTAAAAAACAGTTTTTAAGATTACTGGTTGAAAGCTCTTTTATATAAAAATCAATAGCCTTCCCAAATGTTAGCTGTAATCACATAGAAGATATAGTGATGAAGTATTTTTTCAGGTATTTCAGCTAAAATTAAATATCTAGGAATAAACTTAGATTTGCAGGACTTTTATCAAGGACATGGCAAAATTTTGCTGAGTGGAATGAAAGATTTTCATTCTATGTTCTTCGATGAGCAGATTTCATATCATAAATATGTTAGTTATCACCGTGTCTTCATATTAATTTATAAATGTAATTTCTGCTGGGCACAGTGGCTCATATGTGTAATCCCAAAAGTTTGGGAATCTGAGGCGGTTAGATGACAATTAACTGGGTGTCTGTGGCACACACTTGTAGTTCCAACTACTCCTGAGGCTGAGGGCTGAGGTGGGAGGGTCACTTGAGCCTGGGAGTCAGAGGTTGCAGTGAGCCGAGGTCATGCC